GGTGACAGGGGACTCTGAGTGAAAATTACAAGAGTTATTTCACAAAAATATCCACTAGACAATGAACGCTCAAGCCAGCACTAGTTAGAACCTAGCTGCCAGGGAATGGCATATATTGGGGTAAGAAGATTCTTCTATTCTTAGACAACCAGGATTAAAGCAAACAAAGGAGATTTTATTTGCCTGTACTGGGGTTTGAACTCAGGGCTCTGTGCTTGGTAGGCAGGCGCTCTACCTCTTGAGCCACACTCCCAGTTCTTTTTGCTTTAGTTTTTACTAGGATAGGGTCTCGAATTTTTGCACAGGCCAGCCTGGACTTCTATCCTCCTATTTATGCTTTTCATGTAGCTGGGATGGCAAGTATGAACCAACATGCCCAGCTATTGGTTGAGTGGGATCTCATTAACTTTTTTGCCTGGGCTGGCCTTGAACCACAATCCTCCTGACCTCTGCCTCCTAAGTAGCTAGGATTACAGGCTTGGGTCTTTGTGCCTGGTTAATAATATTTTTAATTGGGAGAATTACATGTAAAAATTCAGACTTCTCTTAAAGAAAAAGTTCTGTCTCTAATGGTAAAGACCACCTCAGTTTTAGAAACAGTGAGTTCTCTCTTTGCCGAGATCCTCACCACTCTCTGTTGTCTTACATCTACTTTGCTTTGCTCACCAATCTCCTTAGCCCCTGTAAGAATGTGAGTTTATGAGTCCTCACCAATGGGCTCAAGAAGGTAGTCATAAGGGTGGAGATTAAAGGGGCTGAGTTGATGGGCTAGCTTTTTGTAAGCTATTTCCAATGATTCAGAAAGCTGAAGGGCAATGGTTACATCGTTAACCTCTAAAAGATTACACAGGTTAAGTGAAGCACCAGCTTTCTTTGCTTTTAGGTGGAATTCCATCAACTGGGTAATTGTGTTGTCATAAAGGAAGTTCATACTGGCAATGGATCTCATTGATAAGTCTTCCTAAAATTAGAAAGGTACATTACTATACTTTAATGAATGAAATTTGCTTGACAGACCAATTCTATCAAAAATGGAGGGCTGAGGGTAGAGGTCAGTGGTAGAGCACTCACCTAGCATGCACAAGGCCCTGGGTTTAATCTGCAGCAGCGGAAAGAAGAAAGAGAGAAGAGAAGAGAAGAGAAGAGAAAAGAAAGAAAAAAAAAAAGAAAGAAAGAAAAGAAAAGAAAGAAAGAAGAAAGAGGGAGGGAGGGAGAGAGGGAGGAAGGGGTAAAAAATCCCCCCAAAAGAAAAAAAAAATAAAAGATGTCCTTATTAGTGTTGACATTGAGTAAGGAACCAGTGGCTCTGTCACATCTCTGCCACAACTTGTCCTAAGGTTAAAACCAGCAGCATGAATGTTGGGATTTCAGATTTCTCACAGTACATAAATGAGATAACTTTAGGGGATTGGGAGACATGGCTCAAGAGGTGGAGCATCTGCCTAGCAAGCTCAAGGTCGTGAGTTCAAACCCCACTACTGTCAAAAACCAAAAAACCAGATTTCTCACTGTTGGCAGAGAAAACATTGAGGACAGGCAATGGGGTCCTCTTCTGAGTCCTGAACTGGCTCTGTTTTTTCTAAACTGAAAGACCTTATGAAATTCAGTGGCTGTGTTCTGTTAAAACTAGTTAATGTTCCTTATTTGTGCCTGTACAATGTACAAGGCCACTGTATTTTATGCGGGTGAAGAAACTCTTTACTGATGACCTGTAATTCTCAAAGGTTGTTATACGTCCTAGAACAAAGCTGATTCATAAATCTGCTAGGTGGGGCAAAGGTATTACGTTTTCAGTTGTTCTGCCAGCAACTTCCCACATCTCACTAACTTACGTGGGACTCTTTTGAGAATCAGAATTGTCAAATTAATATGCTTTAAGACTCTTCTAATCCAGCCTCCTCATTTACCAAAGGCCCAAAAGAGGGAAAAGGATTGCCTGCCACAACACAGCCAGGTCTGGAACTCAGGTTTCCTGACTCCAAGTTGATTTTGATATATAAATTTTTGTTTCCTTTTTCCTTTTAAACTATCCTAACCTATCATTAACAGAGATCTGTGTTTTCTTTTTAGGCTCTTAGGCCACTTAATCATTTAAGCTTTCAGATTTTCCATAATCCTCCTACTTAGCTATGTGTGATAGTATACACCTGGAATGACAGCACTTGAGAGGCTGAAACAGGAGGGTCTCGAGTTCAAGGCCAGCCTGAGCTACATAGTGAGTGTCAGATCAGCCTCACATACATAGCAAGACCCTGTCCCAAAAAAACAAAAAACAAAACAACTCAAGAGCTTTTGGGCCATGTGCCCGTGGCTCAAGTCTATAATCTCAGCTACTCAGCAGGCAGAGATCAGGAGGATGGTGGTTTGAAGCCAGCACAGGCAGATATTTAGTGAGACCCTATCTTGAAAATACCCAACACAAAAAGGGCTGGCAGAGTGGCTCAAGTGGTAGAGCACCTGCCTAGCAAGAATGAAGTCTTGAGTTCAAACCCCAGTACCACACCAAAAAAAAGTCCACGCACAAAGCCCTGGGTTTTTCAGTATTGAAAAAACAAACAAACAAACAAAAAGCCAACCTCCTTATAGCACTTTCACAGGCTATAGATTCCAGTATAAGTACAAGTTTCCAGAGTATACTTTGAGAAATCCTGAATGAGAGATATGATCTTGAGGCCTCTCTAGAAAACCCTGCTAGGGTCTCCAAGATGATAGAGCAATCTGTAAACCACTCACAGTCTTTAGAAGTCTCTCCCTCTGTCCACTCCATGATGAGAGTTTCCAAGGAAGCAAGGAGAACCTCACAGGAGGTTTGGGTCTGGTCTTTTTAGAAACAAGTCTGTTGAGATTTCATACATCTGTTCATTTCTTCTTTTTGTTCCTATGTCAGTAAGGACTTTTACCACCTGCCTGAAAGTAGATCTCTCTCTCTCTCTGTCTCTCTCTTTCGCTATGTCTCTCTCTCTCTCTCCTTTGCCATGGCACATTTAGCTATTTTAATATTAGATGAAACAAACTAAGTGGGCGGGGAGCTGGGGAGGTAACTTAATGGTAGGGTGCCTGCCTAGTTTATGTAAGGCCCTGGGTTTGACATCCCAGCTCCACAAAAATAAATAAATAAATAAACTTTCTCTAAGATAGGAGCACAGCAGAGATCCCAAGGTGGTTCTGGCCAGCACTGCCTCTTCCTCAGTTCACCCAAGTTGTACGGGAAAGAGGAGCATAAACTCTAATGGGGAGAAAAAAAACATGCAGAAAGAAAAGAGGTGTGGGGGGAGTCAATGGTAAATTGTAATTAAGCCACAATTTAAAGTTGATGTATGAGTCACGCTGACACATAGTTAGTGCAGATAGATCTATGCAAATGAGCATGGAAAGGACGGAAAGGATACTGTAAAGAACAAGCCAACTAGCCCCTCCCCTGCTCTTCCCACATTTACCACCATCAAATTTGTGACCATGTCAACCTTGGGGAGATGAGAAAAATAAAATATATATGCTATGATTTTCATGATACTGAATTTATTTCTTTTAAATTGGTGTCTTATATTCTGAGAGTATATCCTTCCTTCTTTCTTTAGTTCTAAAGTATTTCTTTTATGAACTGACACTAAAAGCATGTGATAATTGTTTTGTTGCTGCTGTTGTTGGCAGTACTGGGGTTTAAACTCAGGGCATTGCACTTGCTAGGCAGTGCTAGGCAGGTGCTCTATCACTTGAGTCACACCTCCAGCCCTTTTTGCTCTGGTTATTTTTGCAACAGGGTCTCACTTTTTGCCCAGGCTGGTGTTTCCCTGAGTAGCTGGGATGACAGGTATTGAGATGGGGTTTTGCTAACTTTTTGCTTTGGCTGGCCTCCAACTGTAATCCTCCTGGTCTCAGCCTCCTGAGTCACTAGGATTACATGTGTGAGCCATTGGTGCCCAGTTAATAATTGGTATTTTTTATGTGCTTCCCTGACAACTTAAAAAAATTGACCATTCTAGGGCTGGAGGCATGGCTGAAGTGATAGAATAACTGCCTAGCAATCATGAAGCCCTGAGCTCAAAGTCCAGTTCCATCAAAACAAACAAAAAAAAGGCTACTCTATGTGGCTTCCCCATTTTAATTTTAAATTTTGGGACTGCACTGATTTGTGAAACACAAATGTCTATTAATTTTCAATCTAGAAAAATACAAATCAAATAGCAAATGGTTACCAACCTATTCAGAACAAATCTCGTTTAATTAACATACACTTCAAGGATAAGACTTAACAAAATCTTATTTTTCATTCTGAACAGCTCTTTCCATAAAATTATTCCATAAGTGTATCAAATTAGTCATAACAACTACTGTTAAGTGATTAATGAAACACTTCTTTATAACCTCTGACAATTTGACAGGAGTGAATTTAATAATAGTAATAAATACAGATGGGACTACATAAATTGAAGCAAGTCCTGATGCAAAGCTCTTCCTGGATTCCACAGCATTTCAGCTTTCTCATCTGAAATGAACCAAGGAATTAATTATAATGATGATCACAGCAAGAAGAAAAAAAATTCAAAACAAAACCCATCCTCTCTGACAGCATGCCTTTGTTCTTGTTACCCATTGCCCACTTCACATGTGCTGGAGTCAATAGACTAACAAAAAAACTCCAAAGACAAGGCAGTGCTTAGGAGGAGGGATGTGGCCAGGGCTTTGTTGTGAAAGAGTAATAAGGCAGGGGCTACTGCCATCTCCCCAGGGCAAGCCCTCTCATTTGCAGTGTAGTTGCAAAAACATTGGCCAAACTTGCTTAGAGAATAGGGCATGAACCCAAAGCTGTTTTCGGTCTTAGACAGCATTCCTATCTGTCTTCCCCTAAAGTGGAGGCAGCTTTTCCTCTCCTCCTACTTTCCTCTGAACCCCTTCACCTTCCAGCACCTCCCATCTCTGAAGGAGTATGCCTGGAATGGGCTTGATTCCTCAAAGCACTGCTCTCCATCCCTTATGGAAATGGCCCCAGCCCAGAGGACTTACAGCGCTGTTTCTGCATGAGGGTCTTTCTCCTTTATGCAGAACTAAAAGCAAGCACAAGAGCAATGAGTTCCCCTGCTTTCCTAAGGTCTGCAGGTAAACATTTTAAACGCATCAATGTGGCTTAAGGATAGATGCTGTGGAAATACAGTCACCTCTGTACTCGCTCAGGTCTCTTTTCTTTGGCCACATTGAGTGTTTATTGAAATTTGGGAAGAGTAACTCAATCAGAATGCTTCCAGGATTCTTAGACAGCCGGGTATTTCTCTCTCTTTTTGCTTGTTTGTTTGTTTTGGTCATATTAGGTTTTGAACTCAGGGCCTCATGCTTGCTAGTCAGGTGCTCTATCACTTGAGCCACTCTACCAGCTCTGTGTGTGTGTGTTTTAATAGGAAAAATTGCTTTGGATTGGAACAGAGGGTGCAGGGAATTTCTTTGAGGAAAGCATTGTTGTCCTGAACACCATTCAAGCTCCATGTTGCAAGAATGCCCTTTGCTGACTGATGAGCTCAGCCGAGGGCATACTGGGCCTTTCTTCTGAGGCTTTCTGCCATTTATCCTCCTTGGCACTGAATTAACTGGCAGGGTCAAATGCAGGGCACTAACCTATACACGCACTTCCTCTGAGTTATGTGGAGTTGTGACCTTGACCACTAGACAATTGAAACCCTGCCCTCTGCATCTGGGCAGATGCAGTATTCAAGTGGTGTGTGTGCCCATCTCTGAATCCAGAGCAGATGTTCTGCCCTATATTTATTTATTGTACTGCAGACAACATAGCAACAGGAGAGAGAAATTTTTATTCTCATTTATTTATTTGGTTTTTTGAAACAAGATCACTCAGGTTCTTTTTTTTTTTTTTTTTTTTCAGTACTGGGGCTTGAACTCAGGGTCTTTACCTTGAGCCACTCCACCAGCCCTATTTTTTTGTGAAGGGTCTTTTCAAGATACAGTCTTGTAAACTATTTGCCCAGTCTAGCTTTGAACTACCATTCTCCTGATCTCTGCCTCCTGAGTACCTAGGATTACAGGTGTGAACCACCGGCACTCAGCTCAAACTCAGTTCTTTCTGCCTCTGTCTTCTGAGTGCTAGGATGACAGTCATGTGCTGCCACCCAGCAGGGAAAATTGACAGGGAAGAAAAATCAACTCCAAATCCTCTACCCTTAGCAACAGAACTAATTTTGTGCAGGCCTTGTCTGTCCTTTGTAAAGAAATACTCAAAAAATATGCACAATTATTCTGTAAGCAGAGTCATTTTGTCATATTTTTTCTGCAGTGCTGGGGATCAAACCCAGGGTCATGAGCATGCTGCACACAAACTGTGCCCCTGAGCCTAGTCGCCAGCCTTTCAAATGACTTTCTACCTCAATAACTCAGAATACTTAGTTACCTGCATTAGTCTTTCCCTTCTAGCAAGCAGTCCGAAGCACAATGTCAGAAAGACCACGACGCATGCAGCAATAATGGCTTCTATTGGTAAAGGTTTAGTTTTATCTGTTGGAAATGCAAACACAGGGAAGAATAATGATTTATCTGCTCTGGTACCTATGTCCCAGTCATGGTGCCTTGTACTTTGCATATGTCATCCTCTTAGTTAAATCCCCCCAGCAAGCCAAAGGCAGATGTTAGTGTCCCCTTGGTTTTTTTGGAACCAGAGGTTTTGAGAGGTTCCAAAATCATCAAACTAGTAGAGGCAGGTTTTGAATCCATTCCTTTGTGAAAGAATATATTATTATAATATAAATAACCCCCCACAAGCAAGTAGTCAGACAATTTGTGCTTTCTTCATCCAGTTTTTGCCACACAGAAAACAGAAGTAGGCTAAGGTCAATTTTTTCCCTGCTTTTTTTTTGAAAAGCCTGAGACATCCCAGATGGGAAAAGAGAGGGAGGAAGGCTGAAAGAGCAGGAAGACAAAGCTCTTTGGATTAAGAAAGAGAGAGATCTATGGGCCTTAGGAGCAGTAGGGACAGTTGTACCTATACTGTGTTAGTGCCCCAGGCAGGTCACAAGATATTTTTAAAAGGTGGCTGCAAGGTGCCCCTAGGGGAAGTAAGGCTCTAAGCATTAGCCTTGCCGCCTTGTCAAAGATTTCCGTACTTCTCTAAATGACACGGAAAGACAGAGTGTCTAACTTGGACCAGGAAGAAATCAGTGACAACCATGACAGCTTGGAAGTGAGGTGCACTCCCCTTATTTTCTGAACATCAGGTAAGCCAAGCTGTTTTCCTCATAATGCCTGTGTTTGCAAGCTTTCTAAGAGCTTATGAAAAGATATGAGAACTCAAGAAAATGGATTGGCTCCAAAAGATGAAAAGAAAGTAGCAAAATTGATCAAAAATAATAAATGTTTAAACATCTATGAAATGTAACTTTGTGTCAACTGTAACCCAGCAGTTAAGAAATAATGTTTCAATTTTGAGAACAAAATCAGTAACTTACATACAACAAATTTCAAAAGCTATGCAAGTTATAAAACTCTTTTCCAAGTGTTTATAGCAAGAAATATGCTTAATGTGCTTTACTTTAATATGTTTGATACGATAGGAGATGAAATTCTCGAAGGTAAAAGTGCTTAGGATCAACAAAGGTTTTTAAATGACCTAGTCTAAGCCCTGAATTCTGATGTCACTCAAGGAAGGGAGTAGGCTCAAATCATGGATAAAATAGAACGCTAGAAATTTAAAGGAAATAAAGAGTGCAGAACTTACAATACAGCTGAGTTTTTGATTGAGGTAGAGTCAACAAATATTAACTGGGTAACTAATGTGTGTCAGGCCTATGTTTCACTCAGTCAAAAAACAGGACAGACATGGAAGGTGCTGCCTTCACAGAAATCATAGTCTAGTGGGTCAGACGTCTGTTTTTGTTGTTCAGCAAACAAAAACTACAGGTAGAGATAGTGTTATAAAAGAAACAGAGCCACAGAGACTGTTGAAAGGCAAGAGGTGGGAGGAGGGAAAGGTGTGTCCTTAGATAAACCTAACTTTAAAGGCTAACCCTTAATTGACTCAATTATGAAATATAGTTTATTCCTCCACAACTATATAGCATACTAACTAAATCATCTTGTAACTATTTTTTCCCACTATTTTTCCATTTCCTGTTCAGCATAATTTTGGAGTGGATTCAACATCTCTCATTTTTTTTGTGGGAGTGCTGGGGATTGAACCCATTGCCTACTACATGCTAAGCACACACTCTACCACTGAGCTACTCCCCTAACCCCAAAGCATCCTTCACTTCTGCCCTGTCTTGGCTGTTCCTAAAAATTATTCTTATGAATGTATTCTTACCAACCGTCTGGAGGAACTCTGCTCAATGGACCTTCTTCTAGAAGGCTCTGACTCTATAATAGCCAGCTCTAGGGCACAGTAAAGGCCTTTACCTTACCGGGGACTCTTCACTTCCATACCAAGAAAAGACATCAGAACAAAGGGGAAATAAAAATGGGATGCTTAGGAAAAGCACTCAGAATGCAGTCACAGCTTGAAATATTTTTACCAAGCTGAATAAAATGAAACCACATGTGACAGCTTTCGTTCCACAAATAAGCTGAAATACCCATCTGACCCATGGGCTCACTTTGGATTCCAAGTTCCTGTTGTGACTTTGACACACGTAAATAAATGGACCTCTCCCTTTGTCCTGTTTTCGCGCTCTTATTTGTAATCAACCTTGGTGTCCCCTCCCTCAGATTTATTATGGTAAAAATTCCAACATGTGGGCTACATCTCATGCTCCAGAAAAGCCCTATGAGAGCATTTCCAGCTTTTCATGGCCTCATTTAGAAACCACCCCACTGAGCGGTGAAGCTAGGAGAGCCTCACAGAGGATTTGGCCTCAAGCCTGAGCACCAACAGCAGAAGGCTTTGCTATGAAGGCAGCCAACAGCCAAGGAAATAACAAAGCAAGAAGAAATAAGAAAAACAAGTTGGTTTGGAAGAACTCCACCCGAAACAAGTTCTGCCCACCTGAAAGGCAATTTGCTGTTTGCCACACAAGCTGCAAGTTTTTTTTTAAAATGTGACACAGAGCATAATTATGGGCAATTATGATTTCTTCTTAGCCGAGAGAGATGATAGAATTCCCTAGTCTCCAAGTGTGGTCTTAACAACCAGTTAGGATGGCATGGTGTGAGAACCATCCTGCCATGCTTTTGTGGTCCTGAGGGAGGTGAAAAGTCACAAGCTTCAAGGTAGTGTTCCTTCTACTACTTCTATCCTAGGGGTATTTAGGTTATTTGTAGGTTTGGTTTTTCTGAAGCAAGTATCCCTTAGCATACTGTCACGGCTTGTACAACAAATCACTGAACAGGCCAGTGGTCACAGGGATGGGCATTCAACCCATCTCTTCCTCCCCACCAACCACTCTGTGTCCCAGACTCCCATTCTCTGATCAGGGGAGGAAATAAGGCATCCTATGGTTACATCAGTTCATTACTTCTGGAGAGGATTCAATTGACTTCCTGGGGACTGGCAAGAAAGGCGATGAGTGGGAACAGGGAGAGAAATAACAAGACATGAGTAACATTCTAACGAGGTACAGAAGCCCCAGCCTGTTTGGCTGCTCCTTGCCTACTGGCCCGAGACCAGAACGTGTGTGCAAGGTTTTTCTCCATCTGCTTCACCAGGTAGCTTGCCTTTCTCTTTTAGCCTGAGCAAGGACTGAGGAAGTAAAAAACACTCAGAGCTTCATTTGTTCTCTATTATTGTAAAAATGATAAACCTGGGTAGATGAAGCAGAAAGCCAAGAGAAAGAGCCTTTAATCACCATCTCTTCTTACTTCCTCTTCTAGGTTAGAATTTAAGAGTCTGGAGTGACTTCGGAGACCCATTTAAAAAAAATATCTAGTCAGTGCCTTCCTTCTTTATGGTTCTCAATTCTCTACTGTTTGTTACTAGTTTCTGAACTCGAAGACCAGTTCCTACATACCTGCTGCCCAAGAAAATTCATGGAATTATTTCCTGAAAAACAACCAGAATTGCTTTCTGCCCTTGGTTCTAGAAAAGGATCTTTGCTCAAAAAGCAGTGTTGTGGAGGACCTTGAGAGCTTGTTTGGAGGTTCTAGCAGGGGAGCGCAGCTACTCGTATACCCTTGACCAGAGAACGGTCCTCCTCTATCGGGGATGGTTATCCTCTTCCACCCAGGGCGCACCTTCGGGAGGGACGCACACGGAGCCGTGAGGGAGGAAGGGGACACCCGCCTAGCCAGCCAGATCAGCCGAGTCAACCCTGGCGATCAGTGGGGTGACAGATGTCACAGCCAGATCTCCCTCACATCTGCAGTGTTGTATAGAGAATAGGTCTAATTTCCCTGAAAAGTGGAACTAGAATTCTTAATGCAAAATTCCTTGGCTGAGAATAATTTTCCAAAGAAAACTGTAGCTAGTAATCATAATTGTTATCACCATCCGTTGTTTCAAAAAGCATCTGCTGAGCCTTTATTCCTGAGTTTTGCACCTGGCTGGGTATTACTTTAAAAAAAAAAGAAGAAGAAGAAGAAGAAGAGTTCCCAGTGGCTCATGCCTGTAGTCCTAGCTATTCAGAAGGCAGAGATCAGGAGGATCAAGGTTCGAAGCCAGCCTGGGCAAATATTTGAGACCCTATCCTGAAAAAACCCTTCACAAAAAAGCCCTGGTGGAGTGGCTCAAGGTGAAGATCCTGAGTTCAAGCCCTGGTAACAGAAAAAAAAAAAGAAGAAGAAGAGTTACCTTCAACAACTAGGTGAAAGTCCATGGTCTCCAGTTTTATAGATGAGTTTGCAACACAGCTGTAGGTTCCACTGTCAGACTTCTGGACCTTGGTGATGGACAGCTGTAAATACTCACTTGTCTGTTGGATCTGATAATTTTTCTCTAAGGTCAGGACGCTGTTGTCTCTGTACCACATCATTTGAGCCTGGGGGTTGGATTTCACATTGCAAACCAGCTTTACATCGCTGTCTTCCTCAACTGTTTGGAAGTCATTTCCACTTAGGAGAGGAGGAACTGCAAGATTCAAGCATTCAGGTTTAATTGGAAGATAAGCAGTAGTTCACTGACAGCATTCAAGGTCTTCCTTTCATCTATCATATAGTCATTCACTTATTTGACAAAAATTTGAGTAACTATTGTGTGCCAAGCAATACATTCAGTTCCAAGCCTCATAGAACTGTTAATGTGGTGAAGACAAATCAAAACAGGATTATCTTGATGAACATAATACATATGATAATGAATCTGTACCAAGTAGACAATTGGTAACACTATCCATAAATGTAAGCCTGGGGTTTTGTCCTCTGAGGGTTAATGTAATAAACCAACCTGTGCTGGCATTGGGTCATATGGTATAATGCTAAAAAGGCAGGTGTTTCCGTTTGCCCTAATTCTTACAGCACTTACTGTGATTTTGAGACAGTTAATTAACTGTTAAGGCCTCAGTTTCCTCATCCAAACAAACAAAAAAGGATATAATACCTTCCTCATGGGTTGCCTTGAAGATTAAATAAGATAATCCCTGTAAAGAATTTACCACAGTGCTAGTTACTATTATTACTGAGGTGGTGGTGGTAATTTTGAAGACTCCTCACACCCTCTATTATTTGCATCTTATCTAACCACATTTGCCCTGGCCATATATTTGCCAAGGTATATTTGCATTTCCTTAGCAATGCTCTAGAAATAAACATCCTCCTCCCAAAAGGCATTCGAATCATGACAACTCCAGCATCTATGGAAGGTTAGTGACTCCTCTGACCCTCTGTTCAGCTAATTCTTACTCTCTCCACGAGAAGAACAGTCGGAGATGCATAGTCAAACACATTCATCTTCTATTTTATTATTGCTTGTTTTTTGATACTGTTTCTTACTATGTAGCCCAGGCTGACCTTGAACTCTTGATCTTCCTGCCTCTGATTCCTAAACACACTCATCTTCAAAGAATTCCAACCCTTGCCCTCCACCAAAACTTTCCAACATCCAGAGGGAAAAAATGGCTGAGTTGATGTTCCCTACTTGTTTATGGCCCTTGCATTTATTTTTCTGACAGAGGTGCAGAAGAGTAATAAAATAGGTGCAGAGTAGGCAGTAGGAAGGAGGTAGACATGGAGAAGGGGAAAAAGGAAAGTTGTATAATCCACACTCTGAATAATTAGACCCTGAGTAGGCTGTGCTATTAATAACTTTCTCAGAAGAATGACATTTTGTTGCTCTTTGCAGTAAGCTTGAATTCTGTATCCATATCCAACAAGGATGTGATATGCTACTCAGAAATGCAGGAGGCTGCTGAGATAGAGAACATATTAGCCAACTAGAACAGTTCACTTGTGGACAGATCCTATTAGTTGGTCCTCATTTTTTTTTTTAGTATCTCACTATGTAACCCAGGCCAGCTTCAAACTTTCAATCTTCCTGCCTCTGGCTTCAGAGGGCTAAGATTACAAGCATGCACCACCAGGCCTGGCTTGTTCCTTTTAACTATTTAGAATTAATATTTAAGCATGTCAGCTATACATGAGCATTCCTTTAAAAAAATTAGCACATTTCAAATAAAGCTAAGACCCTCTTTGATTCCAGCCCGGCCATTTTCTGACTCCCCCAGCGTAATCTACTGCTATGAATTTAGGATAAATCTGTCCAGCTTTTTAAAAATAGTTTTCTATACATATAGTGTACCCATATGAAAAATTTTGTATTGTTTCAGGAGCATGGGTAGAGGTAACATAAAATACTTCATTCTCTCAATAATTTGCATGTTTTTGAAATATCTCTACATCAATCCTCAGAGCTCCAGCTCACTGCTTTTAGAGTACTCCAGTAGGGCTGGTGGAGTAGTTCAAGTGGTGGACCACCTGCCTAGCAAGTGTGAAGCTCTGAGTTCAAACTCCAATACTGCCAAATTAAAAATGAATATTCTAGAGTGCTCCCTTATAATATTTGACTCCTTTAGTTTGATGGGGATTAGATTGTTTTCATTTTAAAAATGTTAAAAAGTGGTACAATAAACACCCTCGCAAATGTCTCTTTATACACTTGTTCGGGTATTTCTCCAAGGTTAATATCTAGAAAGAGAAATGCTAGACTATAGAGAAGGAAGGGAAAGGAAGAAATGGGAAAGGAGGAGAGAGGAGAGGGAGAAAAGAGGAGGAGAGGGGAGGGGAAGAGAGGGGCGGAGAGGAAGGGAAAAATAAAACTTTCAAGGCAGGTAGCAGATACCCAGTGTGGTGAGGGTGTGAGGAATGTAAATTGGGTAATTTGGTAAAATCAAGACCTAGATCTCAATACCAATGGCTGGTGCAGGCATTGCAGATTGGCAATTTCTTTTCCCTTCACTCACAAATAACATTCAGCACCACTGAGACAGACACCATCTGATTGCTCTGCAGCTTGCAGGTGAAGTTGACGCCATTGTCATCTACACTGATGGAAGAGACACAGACAGAGCTGGTGTTGATTTTGTTTCCAGATTTCAAATCCACTGTCCCCTCTTCTCGATACCAGAGCAGTTCTTCATCTCTGGTGTGGTTTTGAACGGTACATTCCAGAGATTCTTGGACCCCAAGTTGAGTGTTCAGGATATAGTTCTCAGTTTTACCATTCACAGTTAAAACAGAACCTGGGAGTATAAAACATGCAGAGTGAGCAACCTAGATGTCCATCAACTGGGGATGGGTTAAATGAATTATGTTACATTAGTACAACAAAATATACTCTCAACAATTAAAAATAGTAATATTGAGCTACATGAGTTTTTACAAACAAGTAGACCCATAATACATTGTTAAGTAACAAAAGAAAAAGATTAAAAATGGTGGTCATCAAATTTTGCTGCACATAAAAATCGCCCATGTATCTGATTGATTGACAGAGTACAACCTGGTGATGGGCTCCTCCCCTGTGTTGGGGATCTAATCCAGGGCTTTGCATACACTAGCCAAGTGCTCTACCACTGAGTTCCATCCTCAGTCTCCCAGATGGTTTTAAAGTGCAGTGAAGTCTGAGAATCACCATGTTAGAAACCAGTATATATAGATTCTGGGGTGTCACTCAAATGGTAGGGACCATGCCTAGCATGCTTGAGGCCAAGTTTAATCCCTAGTATGGGAGGAGGAATAGGAGGGAGAATGGAGAAATGCCAAACTAACCCCTACTTCAAAGGATTAAAAGTAGGAAAGCAAGGGAATGGGAATTCAGAAATAAAAATGGAAAAGGACTAGCAAAGTAAAAAGGCAGAATATAAATTGCATTTCTAATAATTACTATAAGTGTATCAAAATTAGATATGCATACGGGCAAAAGCTGATTTGAAAATACTTTTATGATAAACTGGTAGGATTATGAACAAATTTGGTCTTGCATTTCTGATGTATTAATATTCTTGGCAATCTAGTAAAATTAAAAGTTGTTTGAATAGCTCTGGTTTATGGGGTAGACAAGGTTTTGTGAGGTTCAGTGATCAGGATATATAGGTTTTTTTCTGCTCTGATTTTTAGAAATCCCTTCATTGATAATAATATATCATGAATTTTAGCTTTTATTTTCCTGGCTCAGAAGCTAGTAACAAAAGCTAGAACTTTAGCTGCTATAGACCTGACTCGCCTGGATAGTATTTGTTAATATATTCAGTAAACATGGGGGCTTTTTTGTTTTCGTTTGCTTTTTTGTTTTTTGTGGGGTTTTCTTGTGATAAATATTGAACCCAGGACTTTATGCATGCTAAGCAAGTGCTCTATCACTAAGCTAATCCCACAGCCCTAACTTGTCTTTCTTTTTAAAAAGTACAAGCTTTGTTAATGAAAATAGGTTGGTGCCTACTATTTTCTACAAGTTTGGAAAAGTGAACACCAAAACGTTGGGTGATTATCTCTGGATTAAGGGATTTGGAGGGATTTTAACTTCTTGTGTGTGTGTGTGTGTGTGTGTGTGTGTGTGTGTGTGTGTGTGTGTGTTGTGTGTTGCTGGGGATCAAACCCAGGACCTCTCCCATCTGTAAGCAAGTGTTCTGCCACTGAACCACATTTCCAGCCCTTCTTTTTTTTTTTATTGTTTTATTATTCATATGTGCATACAAGGCTTGGGTCATTTCTCCCTTCTGCCCCCACCCCCTCCCTTACCACCCACTCCGCCCCCTCCTTCTCCCTCCCACCCCTCAATACCCAGCAGAAACTATTTTGCCCTTATCTCTAATTTTGTTGAAGAGAGAGTATAAGCAATAATAGGAAGGAACAAGAGGTTTTGCTAGTTGAGATAAGGATAGCTATACAGGGAGTTGACTCACATTAATTTCCTGTGCATGTGTGTTACCTTCTAGGTTAATTCTTTTTGATCTAACCTTTTCTCTAGTTCCTGGTCCCCTTTTCCTATTGGCCTCAGTTGCTTTTAAGGTATCTGCTTTAGTTTCTCTGCGTTGAGGGCAACAAATGCTAACTAACTTTTTAGGTGTCTTACCTATCCTTACCCCTCCCTTGTTTTTTTTTTAACACTTCATTTTTCTTTTCCTTTTTTTAAATTTTTTTTTCTTTTATTATTCATATGTGCATACAAGGCTTGGTTCATTTCTCCCCCCTGCCCCCACCCCCTCCCTTACCACCCACTCTGCCCCCTCCCTCTCCCCCCCCTCAATACCCAGCAGAAACTATTTTGCCCTTATTCTAATTTTGTTGTAGAGAGAGTATAAGCAATAATAGGAAGGAACAAGGGTTTTTGCTGGTTGAGATAAGGATAGCTATACAGGGATTGACTCACATTGATTTCCTGTGCGTGGTGTTACCTTCTAGGTTAATTCTTTTTGATCTAACCTTTTCTCTAGTTCCTGGTCCCCTTTTCCTATTGGCCTCAGTTGCTTTAAGGTATCTGCTTTAGTTTCTCTGCGTTAAGGGCAACAAATGCTAGCTAGTTTTTTAGGTGTCTTACCTATCCTCACCCCTCCCTTGTGTGCTCGCTTTTATCATGTGCTCAAAGTCCAATCCCCTTGTTGTGTTTGCCCTTGATCTAATGTCCACATATGAGGGAGAACATACGATTTTTGGTCTTTTGGGCCAGGCTAACCTCACTCAGAATGATGTTCTCCAATTCCATCCATTTACCAGCGAATGATAACATTTCGTTCTTCTTCATGGCTGCATAAAATTCCATTGTGTATAGATACCACATTTTCTTAATCCATTCGTCAGTGTGGGGCATCTTGGCTGTTTCCATAACTTGGCTATTGTGAATAGTGCCGCAATAAACATGGGTGTGCAGGTGCCTCTGGAGTAACCTGTGTCACAGTCTTTTGGGTATATCCCAAGAGTGGTATTGCTGGATCAAATGGTAGATCAATGTTTAGCTTTTTAAGTAGCCTCCAAATTTTTTTCCAGAGTGGTTGTACTAGTTTACATTCCCACCAACAGTGTAAGAGGGTTCCTTTTTCCCCGCATCCTCGCCAACACCTGTTGTTGGTGGTGTTGCTGATGATGGCTATTCTAACAGGGGTGAGGTGGAATCTTAGTGTGGTTTTAATTTGCATTTCCTTTATTGCTAGAGATGGTGAGCATTTTTTCATGTGTTTTTTGGCCATTTGAATTTCTTCTTTTGAGAAAGTTCTGTTTAGTTCACTTGCCCATTTCTTTATTGGTTCATTAGTTTTGGGAGAATTTAGTTTTTTAAGTTCCCTATATATTCTGGTTATCAGTCCTTTGTCTGATGTGTAGCTGGCAAATATTTTCTCCCACTCTGTGGGTGTTCTCTTCAGTTTAGAGACCATTTCTTTTGATGAACAGAAGCTTTTTAGTTTTATGAGGTCCCATTTATCTATGCTATCTCTTAGTTGCTGTGCTGCTGGGGTTTCATTGAGAAAGTTCTTACCTATACCTACTAACTCCAGAGTATTTCCTACTCTTTCCTGTATCAACTTTAGAGTTTGGGTCTGATATTAAGATCCTTGATCCATTTTGAGTTAATCTTGGTATAGGGTGATATACATGGATCTAGTTTCAGTTTTTTGCAGACTGCTAACCAGTTTTCCCAGCAGTTTTTGTTGAAGAGGCTGCTATTTCTCCATCGTATATTTTTAGCTCCTTTGTCAAAGACAAGTTGGTTATAGTTGTGTGGCTTCATATCTGGGTCCTCTATTCTGTTCCACTGGTCTTCATGTCTGTTTTTGTGCCAGTACCATGCTGTTTTTATTGTTATTGCTTTGTAATATAGTTTGAAGTCAGGTATTGTGATACCTCCAGCATTGTTCTTTTGACTGAGTATTGCCTTGGCTATTCGTGGCCTCTTGTGTTTCCATATAAATTTCAGTAGATTTTTCAATCTCTTTAATGAATGTCATTGGAATTTTGATGGGAATTGCATTAAACATGTAGATTACTTTTGGGAGTATCGACATTTTTACTATGTTGATTCTACCAATCCATGAGCATGGGAGATCTCTCCACTTTCTATAGTCTTCCTCAATCTCTTTCTTCAGAAGTGTATAGTTTTCCTTGTAGAGGTCTTTCACATCTTTTGTTAGGTTTACACCTAGGTATTTGATTTTTTTTGAGGCTATTGTAAATGGAATTGTTTTCATATTCTTTTTCAGTTTGCTCATTGTTAGTGTATAGAAATGCTAATGATTTTTCTATGTTGATTTTATATCCTGCTACCTTGCTATAGCTATTGATGATGTCTAGAAGCTTCTGAGTAGAGTTTTTTGGGTCTTTAAGGTATAGGATCATGTCGTCTGCAAATAGGGATATTTTGACAGTTTCTTTACCTATTTGTATTCCTTTTATTCCTTCTTCTTGCCTAATTGCTCTGGCTAGGAATTCCAGTACTATGTTGAATAGGAGTGGAGATAGTGGGCATCCTTGTCTGGTTCCTGATTTTAGAGGGAATGGTTTCAGTTTTTCTCCGTTAAGTATAATGCTGGCTGTAGGTTTGTCATATATAGCTTTTATAATGTTGAGGTACTTTCCTTCTATTCCTAGTTTTCTTAGAGCTTTTATCATGAAATGGTGTTGGATCTTATCAAAGGCTTTTTCTGCATCTATTGAGATGATCAAGTGGTTTTTGTCTTTGCTTCTGTTAATGTGGTTTATTACGTTTATTGATTTTCGTATGTTGAACCACCCCTGCATCCCTGGGATGAAGCCTACTTGGTCGTGGTGAATAATCTTTTTGATGTGTTGTTGAATTCGGTTTGCCATTATTTTGTTGAGGATTTTTGCATCAATGTTCATTAAGGAGATTGGCCTATAGTTCTCCTTTTTGGAGGTGTCTTTGCCTGGTTTTGGGATAAGTGTAATACTGGCTTCATAAAATGTGTTTGGCAGTTTTCCTTCCCTTTCTATTTCGTGGAACAGTTTAAGGAGGGTTGGTATCAGTTCTTCTTTAAAGGTCTGATAGAATTCAGCAGAGAATCCATCAGGTCCTGGACTTTTCTTTTTGGGGAGACTCTTGATTGCTGCTTCAATTTCATTTTGTGTTATAGATCTATTCAGGTGATTAATTTCCTCTTGGTTCAGTTTTGGATGATCATATGTATCTAGAAATCTGTCCATTTCTTTAGATTTTCAAATTTATTTGAATATAGGTTCTCAAAGTAGTCTCTGATGATTTCCTGGACTTCCATGGTGTTTGTTGTTATCTCCCCTTTTGCATTCCTGATTCTACTAATTTGGGTTTTTTCTCTCCTCATTTTAGTCAGGTTTGCCAGGGGTCTATCGATCTTGTTTATTTTTTCAAAGAACCAACTTTTTGTTTCATTAATTCTTTGTATGGTTTTTTTGGTTTCTATTTCGTTGATTTCAGCTCTTATTTTTATTATTTCTCTCCTTCTATTTGTTTTGGGATTTGCTTGTTCTTGTTTTTCTAGGAGTTTGAGATGTATCATTAGGTCATTGATTTGGGATCTTTCAGTCTTTTTAATATATGCACTCATGGCTATAAACTTTCCTGTCAGGACTGCCTTTGCTGTGTCCCATAGGTTCCGGTAGGTTGTGTTTTCATTTTCATTGACTTCCAGGAACTTTTTAATTTCCTCTTTTATTTCATCAATGATCCATTGTTCATTAAGTAATGAGTTATTTAGTTTCCAGCTCTTTGCATGTTTTTTTGTCTTTACTTTTGTTGTTGAGTTCTACTTTTACTGCATTGTGATCAGATAGTATGCATGGTATAATTTCTATTTTCTTATATTAGCTGAGGCTTGCTTTCTGCCTTAGGATATGATCTATTTTGGAGAAGGTTCCATGGGTCCAGCCCTTCTTTATTCTTTTTTTTGGTGGTGTTGGGATTTGAACTCAAGGGTTCATGCTTGCTAGGCAGATGCTCTACTACTGAGACTTCTTGATTCTTTTATAGATAGCCTAATTTGATGCTAAGGATTGAACCCAGGACCTTGCCTGTGCTAAGTAAGCATGCACTCTACCACTAAGCTACACCCCCAATCCCTTGCTTATTTTATTTTATCATGACTATTATTGCTTTTAAAATCTGGGAGGGGGAGAGAAAATGCAGGAAAGATTTTCTCATAAATGATACATTCAAATAAACAGAAGATTATTATAAGGTAAGTATTAAAATGCATGAAAATGTAGGAAAAAATGTCCTGCAGCTCTGGAGAGAATAGAGTTCTTCACCTTCACTTGTACAACAGAACCATAAAAGCAATATTTTTCCACTTAATTTTTTATTATGTTATCTGACTCCTATACTCTAAGCCATACTAATTGTGTAGCCATTCCAAATTAGAATTTAAGGTTGCCCTGGGCATTGGTGGCTCATGCCTGTAATTCTAGCTACTAGTGATGAGGCAGGCTAGGTTAGGGACAGTCTGGGATTGTTCCCCTTCTTGGCTCAAGGGTTCCTCTCCCTAGCCCACAGGTGAGAGGAGCCGGGTGATGGCACTCAGAGGGAACACCCCCGTCTGAGTTCAAGGTGATATAAACCCTGGCCCTGCTCCTCCTTCTTCTTTTTCCCTTTCCTCACCTGGCAGAATGAGTAATTCCCTTTTTCTCAATAAAGCTATTCTACCTCACCCCATCCCTGTGCTCTGCATGGGTTCTTCCATTTGGAACACAAAAACCAAGATCATCTGATCACAGACTGAACCAGCACCATTAATAGAGAGGCTGAGATCAGGAGGATCATGGTTCAAGCTTAGCCAGGGAAAATAGCTTGCAACATTCCATCTCCAAAATAACTAGGGCAAAATGAACTAGAGGTATGGCTCAAGTGACAGAGCACCTGCTTTGCAAGCACAAAGCCTGAGTTTAAATCCCAGTCCCACTAAAACAAAAAGAAAAAGAAAAGAATTTAAGGTTGCACCCAATGTCTATCAATTATTTTTTAATGTGAAAGATTTTCTTTCTCTAAAAGAGAGGCCAAGGGTAATATGAACTTACTTGTCATCTCACGTGGCAAAAACAAAATCCCTAAAAGTAGAAGCCTGCACAGTTGCCTTGAACTGCTCCTTTCCCAGGCCATCTTTAATGAATTCAAGGTGAATCTGTTGGGGGGAAAGGAATGCAGTTGGATCTGTACTTTGGTCTACAATGAGTTTATGAACCTTCTTCCTATCTATTAAACATTTAAAAAAAGAGTCCCAGATGAATCATCCCAGCTGTAATGGTACAACTTCTAGTTTTTAATTAAACAACTCTATTCTGATCAAGTTCAAAGTACTTTCAGTGTTGATATTTTTTTAAGGCAACAAAAAGAAAATGACAAGGAAGTAGGCTATACAGTATAAGTTTTCCCTAGGGAAAACTAGACTAGTCTTCCCTAGAAAAGAGAATGTCATTTTAACAGAAAGAGAAATGAAACTTGCCCCATTCGTAGGTGGTCCTTAGTAGACAAAGTGAAACTTTTTGAAAGTCATTTGGTTCATTTTTGAAAAGTTGTTTTCTAATCATACAGAGCTATTGAGACAATTTCAATGGTGTGTATTTAGAAAGGACTCAGTGGAAACATGATCTCTAATTGTAACGTTAATGTCTTCTTGATTCTCCATCTTCCTACTCTTTCCTCTTGACCAAGAATGGATTACAAATAACAAATAATCATTATTTTGCTTTTGTTCCTACATCCCTCCTCTTAAGATATTCTCTATTTTCATCAGGGAAAAGCAAATATCCACTGCTTTCTCTCCAGAGTGCCACTATATTGGGGCTGAGTTATGTTGGGGCTGAGGCTGTTTGTAGCTCAGTGGTGGAGCACTTGCCTAGCATTTGCGAGGTCCAGGGTTCCATCCAGAGCACCACAGAAGAAAAATAATCAAAAGAAAGGAAAAAGAGCACTACTACAAATATAGTAGAAACTCATATAGAATGCCTTCTATGGAATTGGTACTGTGCATTAAGTACTTCACATACATTCTTTCAATCATGAACCCTACAACTTCCCTCTTGAGGTAGCTCTCTCCTTTCCTCCCTTCTTCCCTTCCTCTCTTCCTTCTCCCCTTCCCTCCTTTCCTCTTCCTTTCTTTCCTTTAAAATTTATCTTGAGGTAGTTTCTATAGGTTCAGAGAGATGATGTAATGTGCCCAAGATCCCAAAGATTGTAAATGTCAGGGCAGAACTCCCAAGACCATGACCATAACACCCTCCTACCTAGACTGATGTTTTCTTCCTTTAAAAGCTGAAGTTAATCCCTTCCAGTCCCTCGTCACTTTGTGGACCTTAGCAACTTTAGTGCTTTGTCATCTTAACATATGTATTAACTGTCAAGAGCCAGAATACACCAGTGACTACTTTGAGCCTTCTCCATTCCTCCCCTGTCCCAGGCCTGTCCTGACAGGAACCAGTCTCATTCCTGCCAGGCTCACTCATCTGTTTTGGCTGGCAAACCTGCTTTAATCGTTAATAAGATGCAATTAGTACTAACATTGATTCTTTTGTAATTTTAAATTTTTGCCCAAGATATTTCTATCTATCACTCTGTTATAACAGTGATGATTTCAGAATTTGGTCATTAATAGAGTTATTTCAAGCATTCACTCTCCATAGCGGGTGCTCAGTAAAATCTGGGAGTATAGGCTTCTTGACAGACCTTACCCCATCCTGTGAAGGGGAGAACTGACGTCTTCTCTTTTTGTCCTTTCCACCCACCAAGACACCAACTTTTCAAAATGTATTTCCCTCACTTGACTCTACGTTCTATACAAGACAGGCTTGCCACTTACCTGCTGAGCTCTGAAAACTGACTTCTTTGGCTGACTGTTCTTCTGCCCAGGAACCCTGAATTCTTTCCCTTGTTACTCTCCTTTATAATACTTGAATTCAAACACTTTATGACAGTAGGGTCAAATAAATAAGATAAATTGGGTTCAAAGTCTGTTTCTCTTTATGGATTCTTAGAGAAGGCAGTAATTGGGAAAGGCATCTTCTTAACATCTAAGTTTTTCTCTGTACCCAGGTTACTAGGTGGGGCCGGATATTACTAACAGGAGTGTATTGTTCCAAGAAAGCCAGAACTTGTGCAAAAATCTGTAGCACATCTCACCAAATGTTGTCATACTCAAATGAGATGACTGGGTTTTGACAATCTGATAGCTTGGGGATTGTGATGGGAAAAGGCCGAGGAGAGGCTTGTCTTTCACAATAATCAGAACATTGGAAGATTCCACACAACTAGATGCTGGAAAAGTACTATTTACTACTGGTAACTCCAGCCCACTGTGTAAGCTGTGTCACGCCAGGCACACTAGAGAACAGTTTTAGCATCCTGAAGCTCTCACCTAATTGGAGAATCGTTGCATTATACTTCCAAGAACTAGCAACTGGGGAAAACTTAACATTCAAATGTACTTATGTTTATGGTATATTACCCATGCAAATTTTATTTGCCAAGAATAATTGTTCCCATTTTTATAGAAAAATAGAAGAGTATTTATGGCAATCTATACTTTTTTTTTCTTTTTCTATTGTATGAGGATTGAACCCAGGATCTTGCCTATGTGAGTTAAGTGAGCTGTATCTCCACCCAATGCATACATTTCCACTCATTGGTTAGGCACACCAGAGTTTCTTACTAGTTGTGCAACTTTGAAAAGTTCTTCATCAACACAGCAGAAGTAATAATAGTACCCTCTGTGAGCCACTGTGAGGATTAAATGAAATGAAGGGTGAAAAACTGCTTTCCAGTAAACTCTTCATAAACAGTAATCATGTATTGTTGTTAAGATAGGTTGCGCAGGACATAATAAATAAGTACAGCCTGATTATAGTAGCATTGTTCAAGTAGGATCATCACTAAGAGCAGCTTCTGTTGGCTGGGTACAAGCCTCCAGCTCTTTGAGCTTCCTCCTCTTTCTCCTCCTTCTCCTCCTTTTTTTTCTTCTTCCTCTCCTATTTCTTCTTCTTCTTCTTCTTCTTCTTTCTTCTTTCTTCTTCTTCTTCTTCTTCTTCTTCTTCTTCTTCTTCTTCTTCTTCTTCTTCTTCTTCTTCCTCTTCTTCTTCTTCCTCTTCCTCTTCTTCTTCTCCTCCTTCTTCTTCTTATCCTTCTTCTTCTTATCCTCCTCCTCCTCCTGCTCCTTCTCCTCCTCCTCCACTTTCTTCCTTCTCTCTCTCTCTCTCTCTCTCTCTCATATTACTGGAGATTGAACCCAGTTTTGCACTTGCTAGGCAAGTGTTCTACCACTTGAGCTTGCCTCCATGGATTTGCTTCTCTATGGACCCAAGAACAATGTGATTTCCTATTATCATTTTAAAATCTCTTTAGCAATAGACTGATGTCTTGGTTAGGATCTCTCCAAAGCACACCTTGCGACAAAGCTTTGGATGCAAATAGTTTACTTAAAAGTGATTTTAGGCCAGGCACCGGTGGCTCACATCTGTAATCCCAGCTACTCAAGAGGCAGAGATTAGGAGGATGCAATTCAAAATCAGCCCAGGCAAATAGTTCACAAGACCCTATCTCGAAAATACCTAACACAAAAAGGGCTGATGGAGTGGCTCAAGGTGTAGGCCCTGAGTTCAAGCCCCAGTACCCCAAAAAAAAAAAAAAAGACCAACTCAGGAAGCATAGTAAGTATGCTAGGGAAGGGAGGCAAGCTAATAAAGGTTGTATCAATGAACAAGTTACTACTGCAGGTAACTGTCACTGTGGAGCCTTTGACAAGTTCTGTGGAATACACTTCAGAATCAATTCGTGATGGGGAAGGGAGCTTAGGTAGTTGTCTACTAACATCTCACCATCTTTAGGTGAGGGACACTTTGGGAATGTTAAGTCCCTTGGCACTTCCAGACTGCCATGTGAGGCAACCTGTCCCGTGAACCAGCCAGGAATGTCTAGAAAAAGACACACAGAAAGTTACTTGCTATATGGGAACTGTTTGTAGGCACCTCTGTGTAGATCAAGGGGATGTAAGTAGGGTACCAAAAGCAACTCCTACAACTGAATATTAGATGGCATTAGGAAATAATGGTTAATTATTCATAGGTAGGATAATGGTTTTGAAGTTATGTAAGAGAATTCCCTAATTCTCAGGAGATGCCTGCTGAAATATTTAGGGGTTACAACTAAATTTCAAATAATTCAGCATAAGTAGGGCTGGGAATCTAGCTCAGTGGTATGGTATGTGCTTAGCAGGCTCTGGGTTTGATTTACAGCACTACAAAAAATAAACACAAAATAAATATAGAAACATTAACTAACATTTACTGAATCCAGATGAGGCTGTATAGATCTTCATTGTACTATTCTTTCAACTTTTCTGTATGTTTGACATTTTTTATAGCTAAAATGTTGAGGAAATGTACCTAGCATTCATAAAATACATTCCCTTGATATTTAGTTATAAAAAGTCAAGCATACAGAAAATATTTATTGAGTACCTATTATGTGCTAAGTTTTCTAAGTATTGGCAATGCCAGATCCATCCAAGCCAATAGGATGGCTCCATCTTGAATTACGGAAAGATGGGTTATCAAGACCCTCTACTGCCAACTGTGGAAAAGTGTTGTACTAACTCCACAAAACTATAATGTGTACAAAATGAATGGTGCTCCCTAACTTCTACAACATTAAGTACCCTGAAAAACATTCAGATGAATGAAACAAAGCTCCCAGCCTTCACAGGTCTTACATTCTAGAGTAGAAAGTTAATAATGATGGTTGGGAGCCCTTAAAATGCCCTTGGGTGCTGAAGGAGAGATTTCCAGTAAGAAAAATGATAGCATGGTGCCCCCTTTGGAGAGTCAAGGTAGTGATGTGATGGTCCAAGTTCATGTAAATCTCTGGAACATTCCTCTTTCCCATAATTGACAGAGGAGAAAAATCATTTTTCCATCAGTTAAGCCTAGTAGTTAACTTTTATGTCTAAGTAGTTTGGATGACTGGACTATTAAGAGTTTAGAACTTAGGGTGTAGCTCAGTGATTGAGTGCTTGCCTAGCATATGCTAGTCCCTGGGTTGCATCCCCAGTACCCCAAGAAACAAAACAAAACAGAACTAAACAAAATAGAACTAAACAGCTTCTATAAGTA